CGAACCTGGACACTTATGTCATGTTACATTTTGTTTCATTATAGGTTACCAATATATTTGTCGTTCAATTACCCAAGCTTGAGGTCGGATATAAACCCGTGCAAGTCATCTTGGTGTCTCATCTGTGGTGTAAGACGATATCAATAACTACAGAACCACCAGCAAGTGTAGTCAATATAGTTTTATTTCAAACGATTCAGGCTGATGCCTTTATCTGGCATGAATCTGCCAGCAGTTAAGTGGTCACATCTAGCTGATCAACGATTATTTGCTGGCATAACACCATTTATCTGCTATCAGACTAGTAGCGGACAGGGGAGGGGAGGGTGGAGGGTCGTGTCGGAATCCCTTTGAGGAGGGGGGGGGAAAGTCGTTGTATATAGAAGAAATTCACCACAACGCGATAGCGTAATCTGATTGTGCCACCGACGCCTGTGGCGCGAGTTCCAGGAGGTTTAGGGCTAAGAGGAGACGATATTCGTGTTCAGGAGGTCAAGCTACCCCAGAGGACAACTTTTAAGCCAATTTTGTCCGCGGAGGGAAATGTCGGTCGAAACGGCTTGATTCCGGATGATTGGGGCAGAAAAGAGCCAATGGTGCCAAAAATTTTTAGTTTTGGGGCAGTAATGGTCACATCGTGCCAAGCATCTTTAATATTCATTTTTCACATAAAAATCGGACCTTCCTATACAGAATAATGGGAGAATGCCAAGGCTCTCTCTTGCTGAGCAACGCTGACAAAAATTGACGTTCTATTATGTGCACCATGAGAAAAGCAAGTCGCAGGTCAAGCGATTAGAAAACGTCATCCGATGATGTCTGTGAAGAAATGAGCAAAGGTGGCATACAGCTGAAGAATTTTCAAGACGAACAGCACATAAGAGACAGAATCTACTCGAATAAAAACACTTAAGGATAGAAACACCCTACCTTTATAAACTCCAATTCAGCAAGCAAATGCTTTGGCGGGTGATTGTGCTCACCCTTGGTGACTGCTTTTTGGTCATCCATTGTTGTTTCTGCCCTACACTTACACCATGAGCCATTATCCGGAATCTTTTTTGCACAGACACAACGCCATGATTTGAAATTTCGTTCAGGCATCACCTGAAGTTCCGTGGCCATCTCCAAATCCATAAAATATTATCTGAAAATTTGCAGCAAAGCATCGCACCTGATATATATTATATCTATAGCCTTGGAACATCAGCTTCTGGTAGCCTTTGAAAGAAGTGACAATTTGAGGTATATCAGGATCGTACCGCACAAAAGAAACCTGAAGTGTCTTGGAATGAGTTTCGGATTAGAATGACGCTCTCATACGACCACAAAAGCCAGGCCTGCATTTATGCTGACATCAGAATAATATCTTGCCCCATTTGTACACAACAGCGCCTTGAAAGGATCTAATGAATACAGAAAGAAAATAAAATTATAAGGCAGTGAAAGCTCGCTTCTCCCAGTTGGATTAACCATGGTGGTTTACTTTTCACTTTGCGTCTTTGCTAGATGTCTCTCAGCACACTGCAAAACATGTTTCTTTGGTGAAGAAAGCTCAAGAAGATGCCTTCAAAAGGGAGAATATTGTAAACTGAACATCTACAGATTAAGCATGATCCGATCGGCAAGGGGTCGTGTGTGCGTAGGTCAATATTTCTAGGGAAGTACGATGGAAGTGGCAGAGCTGATGAAGTGAAGCTGTAGAAGATCTAAATTGGTGAGAAAAGTTAGATGGTGTTTGCACCGTAATCGTTGAGAAAGGTGTTTCCCAGACCAGAATGGTCTAGAGTGCCCCTACAAATCTGATAAGAAAAGTATCTGAGGTCGACACGGTGGTTTACGATGAGACTCACATGACCATTTTCGAGCGCTATCTCAAATATGCTTTCGAAATCTGCAGAGCGTTTCATCGCACGGAATTATGAAAGTGTGCCGCGATTACTCCTATAGTCGTGGTCCCTGCAAACGATAAGGCATGAGACGGCTTTGGAGAGCGGCTAGAGCAGAGTTCTCACCAATCGTGGCCGACTCAGGATAACAATCATTGTTGGAATCAGACCGCCCTTGTTGCGCTCCCGACTGCGCCGCGTCGCACACCCAGTCTCATGTGTCGCATGGGTATGCCCTTCTTCAGTGAAGAAGAGGACCCCAGCTAATAGAATGGAGCAGTAGGCCTTTCTCACAGGCAAGGAGTCGTAGGATAGAATCCTCGTGCGCTAGAAGTTGGCTTCTTTCGAAAGATGTCAAAATACCGATGAGTAGCGAGCTTGAATCGCCCAAGATTGGCAAGCTCTAACAGGCCAATGTTTCCGCTTTTTCGTCTCCAAGACAGCCTGAAAGGCTCAAGAGCGGATGGTATTTGTTCTCTCAAACGCCTTAACCAAAACTGAGCAGCATTCCGACATATTTGTAAATCACTCAAATGTATTGCTCGCTGAATTGGCTCATTTCGATCTCCACCGCGGTGACATGGATCGACAACCCAGGCTCTACTAATGCTTCGAGCAAGACCTGCCTTTCTACTCCTCTTCCTCATCCTCCCCCTCAGACGACAATCCGCAAGTAGCCACAGTCTTCTTTCCTGTTCTTTTGAGAGTCTCTAACCAAAATCCACAATGCCTCCAATGTTTTCGGTGCAGTGGTCCCAGGCTACCACGCCGGGATAGATGCGGGTGCCTGGAATTCGACACCTCTGTGATAGCGATCTTGATGACTTCACAAAGGAGCTTAGAATCGTGATCTTTGTAGACCCCAAGTGTTGGTTAGCCCGTACGCGAAAGGGTTCATGCGTTTCTATTATATACTCACCATTGCATGCAAGGCAACGCATTGAATGGATCACTCCTTTTATGCAGTTATCTGCTCTGCCGTAAGAGCAAAGCATGCACTTCGAGGTATCGCACGAGTGGTCGTGAAAGTGATTGCGAACGAGAACACGTTTCAAACTGTTACGAGGTATTTCGCTTAGGCTGGAAAGAAAGTCGTACGACACTTTGATTAAATTGTTCTAGAAAAAGACCAAAAACATTTTGAATGTTTTCACCCCTGATTAGTGGAGAGTGTCCTCTGAGGTTTTTGCAGATGTGTATATCATGACTTTGTGGAAGCTTTCAAAGCCTAAAAGTCCCTCAAAGGTCGAGGTACTTTTCGACCTATCCCATATTATGAGTTCCTGTAGGGCCACTCCGCCGTAGTCGAGGAAGCTAACACCTACGTTGTCTTGAGGAAGGATATCGCTTGCCATGGCAGAGGGTAGCTTTTGCATCAGCGCTTCCAAGCTGGACTTATTTAATTCGGAGGTAGGCAATGTATAGGTCGGCCACCAGCACAGAATGACGACCGTTCACTCAAGCTTCTGGAGGCTCAGCCGAACGCAGCCACCGGTAAGTTAGCACCCATTAAGAGACAACTGCCATGCTTCTCCGCAGTCTCGGTTATAGGGAAATTTTTTTTGTGAAGGATGCCTCATGAGTTGGACCCGCCCTATGAGTATGACAAAGCGCTCCGAATGATCGTGACTGCGTTTACCCTCCTTGTGCACACTGGAAGAGCTTTCGTGAGATCTTGTGGTTGGTAGCGAGTGGTGGAGTCCTTGCGTACATCATGCACATATCCCTCGCAGGATCTCTCAAAGAGAAAAGTAGATTGCTAGCCAAAAGCAGATGTGCATGGAATAAAGATTTCACTGTGTTATTGGTGGGACTTCAAAGCGATGTCGCTAGGTACTGGCACAGCAATGTCGGCCACAGTCTACACTAATCAACATGGAAACATGGATGACGTCACGCTTCAGATTCATTCAGAAACACTCTCTTTCTATTACTTGGCAATACGAAGGCCGCATTTGAGGATCAATGTACGCCAGAAGATCGTGGATCTCGATCAGGGAATGCGACCGTACCCATATATTTACAGAGCTTCCAGCCTGTAATTACCACCTCCTTTGATCCCTACCAATTCCTTTAGAGAGCAAAATTCCGAAAATTGACGTCTGCTCGAAAATGAAGTCCACCTCTTCTCCTCATAATGACTCTATAAAAGAGGAAATGAGAAGGTGTGCAAAAGGTGGGCACTGGTCCTAGTCATTAATGTTGATTACCTTTTACATTGGAGGTGTCTTAAGGAAGGAAAATCCAGTCCGAAAATTTGGTCACTGTGTCGCAGGACTGTTTTCTAACCTAGTATCAACCCAGCATCGTCTTGCAAGCCGCTTTCTGCAGACTCACTTGGAATACCTGGCTCAGTTCTTCCGATATGGATGAGAAGCTGCGTGACACTACATCGGAGGACATCAAGTTAGTGCCCCACAGTGTTTGGCATATTCTTTACATTGAAGGCATAAAGCACGATAATTTGGCGCTTTATTTGAATGGTAGCAGGGGTGCTATACAGAGGGAAAACGGGGGAGAAGCGAAGTGAAAAGGTCAAAAAGCTGCAAAAAAGCTTTTTTTTACACAACTCAGGACGCGTTCCGGATTCCCGTTGATGTCGTGCCGATAATCGCTACGATAGGTACGGCCGCATGTAATGTACTCACATATCCACGCAGCACCGCAACCGCTTTGTAATTATTCCTTTCGCTCCATATTGTGCTTCGTAAATCCAGCGATACGAGCATCAGCTTCGGTCGGACATCTGTGGGCGGACGGGCGTGCTGGAGCGGTATGCTGCTCCTTGGTAGAGCTGTGAGGGTACCTTCCTTCTGAATAGACGTCACGCAGTGCCTGATTACGGGCGCAGATTTCTGTCCTGCTAGGTCTACTAATCCTACGTCTTGTGGATTAAACCTGCCACTTGTCAGTAACAGCGAACCCGCGAAATACCGCGATTTTGGGCTACTTCGAGCGATTCCTGCCCAACCCGCCATCACAAGAGACCTTGCTTGCAGTTCCGTACATATTACGAACGACAGCTTGCTTCGTCTTTTCGGGTATGCCAAGTTATAGTGAACAAGGAAGTTGTTGTTGCTCGCTTTCCGGTACCACTTTGTTCTACCGTTTTTCCAGCAACTGGAATTGATTGTTTATGAAGGGAAGCCAGTTTCCCTGATGGGTCAATAACGTAGGGTGCCTAAAAGAATATCCTACAAGAAAGTGCCGTTCAGCTTCCATTTCATATCGGGAGAAGTGAGCCAGTGACTGCACGGTTTGCCATTACCGCAGAGCAGGTGACTGCATGAAATCGGGAGTGATCCTTTCAATACGTTGCCTCGCATGCAATAGAGAGTGTACAGGAGGAACGGATCTTCTCTTGCGTGTACGGATTCAGGAGCACTCGGCTGGTCTAGATCACGAGTCCGAACTGCATTGCGAGGTCTTCGATTTCACTATCACGGAGATGTCGAACTTCAGGCAAGCGTGTCTATCCTTACGCTAGAGCTCGGGATCACTGCGCAAACATGAGAAGCATTCTGGATTTCGGCTAGAGAACTCCGAATGAACAGGAAAAAAGAGTGTGTGCACCAATTCGCCTTCATCGAGCGATACTGTTAGGTGATTTACAAGTATATCAAAATGGTGTTCAGCTTTGCTAAGGCATTTGAGAGAACAAGTATCTTCTAATCTTTACTATTCCAGGTTCTGACGAAAGCGAAGAAGCATAAACCTTAGCCTGATGAACAGCCGAGCTAGCAACTCATCTTAACCGAGACAAGATTGAGAAAAAGTCGATCCTGTTTTATAATGAAGCACTGCCTTCATGGGTTTTAACATTGATCAAAGTGTTTGCCTTTACTGATGATTCAAAGAAAAAAAATTGCGAGCATTATCAACAAGTTCAGGCCGTTTCCATGTTAGAAAAAGATTTGGTGGTGTGGACTGTGGCACAATTCACCCACGTTTTTGCACATAACCAGCGTCATATTGTGCTTGGGAGCTCGGACTGCCCTCGAAGCTAATTTCTGCCCAATCCCTGGATTTTCATTTTACCGTAATTAAATTGAAGACAAACCCTTGCAATGTTTGAGATAACGGCGCTCAATTACGAACTGTAAGCGCCGCTGTCGCTTCGTCATTAAGTGACTCTCCAGGAAAAAAAGCAAAAAAGAAAATCATCGAGAACAGGAACCCAGTACCCCCCCCCCTTTTCAGCCTCACTGTACGAGTTCTCCGGAGCTGCTCGTTCCATGCCAACAAAGCGATATACGGCCGCCTCTGGCACATTAATGGCTCCTTCGTGTCATCCGTGAAGAAAACATTAGTGTGCCAT